CCCCCGGCCCGCATCTCAGAACTCGACCAAAATTATAAAAAATCCGAATATCCATTCAATAACGAGTCCAACCATATAAGAATTTTTCAAATCCGACCTCAAATTACCTTTCAAATTCCCAAAATTTAGTCTAAGAAGTTTTTACAAATTTTTAACTCAAATCACTAACTAAATAATGAAAATAACAATCGATTCATGTAATATAGCCAAAACCGATTTAAAATCACTTGCCCCGATGATTTTCTTGAAAACCCCATGAAAAATCGCCACAAACCGAGCTCTCTAGGTCCAAAAATAAAAAATGAGGTGAAACGCTCATTTATATAGTACCACATTTGACCTCCAAAGTGCTGACCACACATTTTTTGTGCGGTCGCACATCCCAGGCTCTGCGTCCACGATCCAAATTGTGCGGCCACACTTCAGCAAAATTTGCACTACTAGGCTTTAGTAAATTGGCTATAAGTTTTTATAAAATATCCAAATGATGACTTCTTTATCTTGCTAGAAACTAGACACAAAGGGCTACAACTTTCGTTTTTGAATTATCTCCAAATTTCTTGTAGATAAAAAGAGATATGCTTCCGAAGTCGGGCCATCGATCCTGCCGAATCCCTAAAGTGCGACGGCAAGAAGAATTATGCGATCCTCACTTTTCCTCTGTGGTCTGCACTTTTTCCTCTACCTCAGCACTTTTTCTTTTGCATCAACACTTTTCTTCTGCCTCAGCGCTCCAAAATGTGCCCCCCGCACTTCCAAAAGTTCTAGAACAACATCAGAGTGCCGAAATGCCCCAACTCGCTCAAAACTCACCCCGAAATACACTCGAGGCCCCCGGGACCTCAACCAAATATACCAACAAGTCCTAACACATAATGCGTACCTACTCAAGGACTGAAACCACATCAAATAACGTCAAAACTATGAATCGCACCACAAATCGAACTCATGAATTTTCAAAATTTTCAACTTCCAAAACTCGTGCCGAATCATATCAAACCAACTCGGAATGACGCCAAATTTTGCGTGCAAGTTCCAAATGACATAACGGAGCTAATCCAACTCTCGGAATCGCATTCCAACCCCGATATTGCCAAAGTCAACTCTTGGTCAAACCTCTCCACCTTCCAAAATTTTAACTTTTTCAACTTTCGCCGAAATGCTTCAAATTACTCTACGGACCTCCAAATCTAAATCTGAACACACGCCTAAGTCCAAAATCAGCATACAAAGCTATTGGAATCATCAAAACGCCATTTTAGAGTTGACTACACAGAAGCCAAATTTCGGTCAACTCTTACCGCTTAAGTTTCTAAAACAAGAATTCTTCTTCCAAATTGACCCCGAATCATCTGAAAACTGAACTCGGCCACACATGCAAGTCATAACACACAATACGAAGCTGCTCAAAACCTTATGCTGCCGAACGGGACTTAAATTTTCAAAATGACCGGCCGGGTCGTTTCAAAGTCCTTCGCATAATACCCAAATTCTCAAAACTCAGCTTGGTAATTACTCTGAAGTTTTAAAAAAGAACTGAAATGTATTAAATTTAAAAGTCAAGACCTTTCTTATTGATTGAATCCCTAATTCATGGTCTTTCCCATTTCTTTATCTTGTCCGCTAATATCTGTAGACATGTGATTTTTTACCCTCCCCAAGATTTTATATATTTTAGCACGTAAATATTTAATTTAGGCATAATATCTTTCAACAACAACAACAACCCAGTATAATCCCACTTAGTGGGGTCTGGGGAGGGTAGTGTGTACGCAGACCTTACCCCTACCCTAGGGTAGAGAGACTGTTTCCAAATAGACCCCCGGCATCCTTCCCTCCAAGAACTTCCCACTTTGCTCTTGGAGAGACTCGAACTCACAACCTCTCGGTTGGAAGTGGGAGTTGCATAATATCTTTATTTCAACTAATTTTGATTCTTTTACATTATTTCGTCACAAAAAATAAAAATTACAAAAATATTTTAGTTTACGTATCTTTCATAAATTTAAAAAAATAAATACAAAAATTGTACCTTATTTTTATATTTATATAATCTTGAAAAAATACAAAAATATATAATAGTTTCATGTTTTTAATATAGTTTAGTTTAATTAATTAAAATTAGTTTTTGCATTGTGTAGTATTTTTATCTTTTATTAAATGGGATTAACTAAGGTGTTAGGACACAATTTTAGGAGTCTTTGAGCCTAATTTGGATTAGCCCATAATTTTCAAGCCCAATAAGACCAAACTCATACCCCTTCACCTAAAAACATTTCTATATAGCTGAAAATATACAAATATACACCCTACACTCTAATACCCTAAGACCGGGAATCACGCCTAAGATTCAAAGGCTTTAGCCGTTTTCCCTACCCCATGTGACTCCATCTTCTTTGATTTATTTTTTTTAATTGAAAGGAAACAGACACACAAATACAAAATGGGATCATCATGATAATGATCTGTTCATTTGCAATTGATTAACCATAAGGCTAAAGCAATTTCCGTGCTCTTGAGATTGAGGTATCAATCAGAAGTTCAGCTCCGAAATGGCATGAACAAACTTTATACTCACGGTAGTGGTAAAAGAAAATAGAAATCCGGCTTCTGATGATCGAAATGTACAGCAGAGGGAAACACGGACGAAGAGGGATAAAGATTGAAAGAGATTAACTCTTTCTTTAGAGTCAAAAACGGACAAAAGCTACAAGCTACATTAATCTCCCCATTTTCTAAATTCTACACCTCTAAACTCCAAGGTTTATCCATTTTGTATCACATGGATTCGATTTTATCTGAATTGTTGAAAAATGTTGTCCTTCGAAAGGAATGGTCGGAAAACTTTCCGGTGCCGACGAGGTTCGGGTTGAGTTCCTATTTGCCGATTTCATTTTCCGGATCAAACCCGGTTGTTGGTTTTTGTTTTGCGACTTCAGCTCTACATCGAGGAATATATATTCATTGCTACTTCATTGATTTTTGAAGAGAATTTTGGCTTAGCAGGTTTATTTCCGTATCACTCTTCTTTATTTGAACTTGTTTGGGTGATTTGAGCTTTAGAATAGTTATTTATGTTTAATTTCCTCTCGATTCAAGTTTTATGTTCTATGTTTGATTGCGTGTGAATCCATACCGTGCTTAGTCATTTGTGGTGAATATTTTGTTTGAGCGTTTTCTTTGCCTTAAAATGGTTGGAAGTTTGAACGATTCCATTTGACTTCCTTGATGGTGTGCTTCTGTTAGTAGCATCTAGACATCTCGCCCGTTCATGAATTGGTTTTGGTTGAAGACTTGAAGGAAAAGAGAATAAGAGTTGATATTAATAACTTTAATCATTATGGAAATGACGTAACTGAGCAGGCAATAAGATATTTGTGTACTTCATATTTGTAAAACTAGCATTCTGTATCCAAGCCACTAGCAATGACTATCTTATTTGCTATAGAATTATCCTATGATTGTTTCATAACCTTGAAGTGATGGTTTTCATTTGGATAATTAGAATAGGTTTTTTTGGGAATTAATTGTGTAAGAAAAATGAGTATGGATCGAGGCGTGCCATTCACAATTGAATCACATAGCATATGGCTCTCATATTAATTTTACAACTTAGTGTAGAAAGCACTTTGAATTCTCGTAGTTTGCTTTAGGTGCGTTAATTAAATAAAGTATCATAGCTACAGGTACGATTCCCGTGACGTAGTTGTGACACACAATTTCCAAATCCGGGGGTACATTTTATGTGGCCCGGTTTTATTGTTCTAACAAGGTTAAATAGAACGTGTCGTGACTCACGGGTGCATTTCATGTAGTGTGGCTTACGATGTGTTTTAAATAACCTTGAAATTCCTTGAATAAATAAAAGCGGTTTTAAAGAGTTAAAAAATGCATAGGTTTTAAAACGTGTAAAATATCAGATAATTAGGCCAATAATAATAGTTGAGCGATCGTGCTAAAACTACGGAACCCGGGAATGCCTAACACTTTCTCCCGGGTTAATAGAATTCCTTACCCGGATTTCTGTATTCGCAGATTGTGAATAGAGTCAATTTCCTCGATTCGGGATTTTAAACCGGTGACTTGGGACACCATAAATTATCCCAAGTGGCGAATCTGAATAAGAATAAATAATCCCGTTTCGATTGTCACTTAAATTGAAAAACTCCCTTATACCCCTTTCGGTGTAGTGAAAAAGGAGGTGGGACAGTATCTCCCAAAAGCAACGAATATTCAATTTTTTTTTTTTTACAAATACGAAGAGAACTCCATTCTCCTTCATAGCATCATGTTCAAAGTTCTAATTGCAGGTTAGTCATCCTTTTTGTTCCTCCATGTATAAAACTTTATTCTTTTCAACTCAAGTTATTTGTACTTCTAAGCAACGTATNATATATATAGTGTTCTTCAATTTTTATGCAATTTTACCTGTTTATAAATATTTACTCTAATAATATTATTTTATAAAATATTAAAAATTAAATACCAATAGGGCTTACGCCCTGTGCTTCGGGGCTTAGGCCTCACCTTACGCCCACGCCTTTTAAAATACTTATATATATATATATTGTTGGAAATTTTTTGTTAAAAGTTAATATATTTGCTTAACTTGTTACAGGAAACTACGCATGCTTACTTACTCCATGGGCATCTCTAAGTTCTGTACTCTTGTCAATAAAAGGATCTTTTTTCGTCAAAGTACTCCATCATTTTCATCCACCCAAACGCAAAGGCCGAGATGACACATCATCCGGCAGAATGGTTTGAAGAATTAACTAGATTAGACATAATTCAAGTGAATATCTGAGTGAATCGGGAATAGGGTGCTCATATTAAGACTTAGGGATCAATTAATTAACCCAACAAAGCAAGCATTGACAGAGCAGAATCCGGATGCAGCTAGTTGCAAAACAATATATACCATGCTTACTGTTTAGAAATTGAATCTTAGGTCTACCTCAATCCTAAATGCTAGATCAAGAAGTGAGAAAATTTCAAGATTAAACAACGAGACAACAATCCATTCCCTTGAATAAAGTGAGAAACCAAACACCTACTGGTCAAAATAGAGTAGTGCTAACATCAATTACTAGTCTTAAGGGCATTTTGGGCCTCCTTCCTTTGTCTTCCAGTTGTTGTAGCAAGGGCAGAGGGCTTTGTTACCATAATAACCAGGAGGGACGCAAAGGCACTTTCTACAGCACTTTTGGCAGAAGAAAATGCATGCCTTGTGGTATTGGGTCCTTCCGCACCTCCTCGTGCATTGTGATGGGCATTCTGTTCATCCAAAAACCAAATGGAGTATTGTACTATGCATGCTTGGTCACACTGTCAAACTCTTTGTTTGTTTTCAGCTAGACTTCTTTTGCTTTATTGACCAGAAAACAACTTAACCCAAGTAAAGACAGACAACGTGGAGAATATCACTATCAAAGTTTGACTAGTTCCATTTTCATATAGTTTCACACTTTGACCAGCACTTGACTTTCGGAAGAATATTAACAACAAACCACCTATGTTGATTAGTCCAATGAGTATAATGAGCACACTTTTAGGAAGCAAAACAAATTAAGTACCGGATCTGTTCGCCAAATATAGAAGCAAGATCGATATAATTAAGTGTGAAGGCTAATAGAAGTGCTCTTGCATGTAGGATGCATTAGAGAAAATACCTATAGGATCGCTTGGTATAATGCATTAGAGAAAATATAAAAAAGTGCTCCTGTCTTTTTCTTGAAATAGATTAAAAGGAACTAAAGAATGCCGTGTAAAAGATAATAGAGGGAGATATATATTACTTTTACGAAATTTTAAAAAAAAAAACGTCTAGCTTCGTTAAATACTACTCTAGTTTTTTATTACTTAGAAATTGGACTGCAACCGCACCAAAACATCAATGGTAAGCAGAATTACAACTATATACGAGGTAGAAACAAAAAAAAAAAAACTAAAGAAAGGAAGAAGAGGAACTTACGGGAGCTCTTCAGACTGCCGGGACCATATCGGTTCTGTAATTCAACAAGAATATACAACACAAGACAATCAGTATTACTATTCATCCGGATAAAAGAAGTGTTGATCTAATCTACAGACTCTATAGGTAAACAATGTGAAGAGCTATGAACCTTGTTTGAATGATGTGCTTCATTTCCCTGCTGAGATATTGCCAACACCTGTGAGACATGCAAAACAATTAGCTACACAGACAGTTGAAAGATATTAATTATGAGCTTTAATAGAAAGAATATTACAATGGCCTGCAGCATAGAGATGGCAACGATGGCCAAGAGAAAAAAAGCACGGACTTTAGCCATGAGTAGATGAATTAAAAAAAATTACACAAAAAGAAGAGAACCAGAAACGGTAAGGAGAGGGACTTTGGTTATTAGCTCTGGTAATAAATAGGAAGAGAGAATTTTGCTTGTCTAGTTAACAGAGTTACCTTTATGTGTCCGCTTTCCACATGGGCACCTGGGTGGTCATGTGAACTATATATATGCTGGTATTAATTATTACTACATTGTTCCAAAAAACTTATTCTCACTCGATGTTCCGTACCAATTTAATAAATATATACATATCATTATATATATACATGAGAAATTAGCATGATTTAATGAAAACATTGAGTACAAGTAAATTTTTGCCCTCCGAATCCTGCAATACAAAGAAATATTATGTTTATTTATCGTCTTCTTTTTCCTTTTTGGCTTTGTTGCAATTCACGGCAAGAGGACTAGAAAAAATAACAAAAGATAAGAGAAGAAACAAAATAGATTAACTGACGAGGCTAACTTAACATCTGAATTGAAAATGAATATGTGGGGGTGATGTGTGGCTATAATTCATGGCTTAGCACATTATTCGCCTTGCATTTTTATATGCTTTAATGATAAAGTACACCTTATTTGCATGTAATAGGGTCCATTTTATATGTAGGTGAATTGAAGATGAAAGTAGAAAAAAAAAGGAGACTTACAAGTCGAAAGCGTGCGCGGGAGCAGTTAATGAGAGACCCTGGCGACGCCAGGCTTGAAGCTGGCGTTAGGCTGGCGATGCAAGGCAAAGGACAAGCAGAACCAGGCATTAGACCTGGCGATGCCAGGCCTAGGGCCACGTCCACCAGCCGTTAGGCTGGCGACGCCAGGCCTAGGGCGAGATCCAGTCCGAGTTTTGAAGACTTAGTTCTTTCCCGGCTTGACTAGGATTTGACCTACACGTTTAGATCTTGTCCTAAACATATAAATAGACCTAAAATGCCACTTTGAAGGACTTTTGCAACCGGAGGCAAGGATAGCTCGTGGAACACCTGTTGGGAGTTGGAATCATCGATTTTTACATCCCTTTATCCTTACTTTGTAATTTAATTGTGCAAATTAATTTGGATATTATTACTATGAGAATGAGTAGCTAAACTCCTAATCTAGAGTTTTGATTGAACCTGTTGGATGATGATTTTCTTGTTACGTTAATATAGATTTGTCATAGTATTCTCTCTATTTGTTCAACTATATGTTTATTGCGGTTGATTGAAGGGCCCTCAATTAATTGTTCTTATTTAGTATATATTACTCGGGAGAGAGCACATATTTAGGTAGTTGTTGAGCAACATCACTCCTAATGTATATGAGGGATCAATACGAAGGGTTTAAAGGTGGAATTAGGGATAACGAAACCTTGGTGCAATCTGAGTGAGTTGTACTTAAGGCCAGCTAGCGTAATTCGGGAGAATATGTGTAGTATATTGTGGTAACTACTCAGGAGAGAGTTACGACAGTCAAAGTGCTCATTATCGATAGAGAAGACTTAGGCAAATTTATAGAAAATGCAGTGGAAAGGATTCCGACAATAGGGGAAATCAGAAATTTAGATCATTCCAATTCTTGTCTATAACCTGTTCGTAGTTAGTTCTTATTTATTGCATTTTTAGTACGTAATAGTTAGTTAGTAAACATCCAACTTGTTACTCAAATAATTCTGAAGATTGACTGTGTGAAATTGTGCGAGTCTAATAGTTGTGCTTAATAGGTTAATTCTCTGTGAGATTCGACCCGAACTTATTAACCAGAATATATTTGCAACGACCGCTAAGTTCTTTTTATAAGTCATAGTTAGGCTTGATTAAATTTTGGCATCGTTGCCGGGGTATTAATGGTGTTATTAATTGTAGCTAAAAGAAGTGCTAAAATTCTTAGTGTAGTCAATTTTCTTCAATTCAAACTAGATACATTGAAATTTGTACGTTTGTAGTCTTGGGTATTATAGGTGCATGCCTAGAAACTCCTCAAGAACTGGTGATTTGTTTGAAGCATTATCAAATCCTGAGAAAGTTTTCAAGGCACTGAATCATGCAAACAAGAAGGGAAAACAGCAATAGAACACAACAGAACAAATCGAACCAGACATGGGAGAGGAAGTAAACAGCAGAAATAATGGGAATGAACTGAACAATCAGGGTGTGGTGCCTGTTGCACCAGAAGCAGCATTGTATGATTGGGCACAACCCACCGCTGACAACCTAGCAACCGCAATTACAGTCCCTCAAATACAAGCAGAATCATTTCAAATCAAAAACAACATACTGCATTTGCTGCAGAATAAGGGATTGTTCTCAGGGTCATACGTTGAAGATCCTTAGCAGTATCTGAAGAATTTTCTATCGATATGTGTCACTCAAAGGCAACCTAATGTGACACCGGAAGCAATAAGGCAGTTGTTATTTCCATTCTTGGTGACGGGAGAGTCGCAGTCTTGGCTTAATTCGCTTCCCATATACTCCATCACTACTTGGGATGAATTAGTCTAGCAATTTGTGAACAAATTCTACTCACCCAATAAGACTGCTAAGCAAATTGATGAGATATTGAGCTTCAGGCAGAAACCAACAAAAATATTACAAGAAACGTGGGAGAGGTTCACGGATATGCTGGTTAAGTGTCCACACATGTCATTCCGGAGCAGATGTTGGGGCAGAGGTTTTACATGGGATTGGTAGATAGCTTAAAGGCCAATGTTGATTCTTCAGCAGGTGGAGCATTTTTGAGCAAAACATTCAGAGAAAGCAAAATCCTACTTGACAAGATGGCCCAAAACTCAGGATGGATGACAAGAGACTCTCCAATCACTCCTGTAGTTCATTCAGTGGCTTTAGACCCGAATAACTCCATAGCTGAAAATATGATACACTCTAGTAACACAAATGAGTATCATCACCAAAAAGATAGATGAATCAGGCCAGAAGCAGCAGGTACATATAGTTGATACAACTAATGGGGGTTTATGTGCATCATGCATTAACCAACCATATGTTTGCTCGCGGAGTGCGTAAGGTGACAACCAGCAATATCAGGAAGATATGAACTACGTGGCCAACTATGGGGGACAGAGGCAAGGTGGTCAGAATTAGGGTCAGCAGAATCAACAATACAGACCAGCACAATAGCAGTACAATAACAGCAACAATCTTGCAGCTATGCGACCACAGGGTCAAGTGATGCCCTACCAAAGGCAATAAGGTTACAACCAGCAAAATCAGATGCAGGCTTATCAACAACCTCAACAACAAATTGTTAGACAAGTTGATGGGTTTACTGAACTTAAGGGAATGATGCAACAATTGATTGGTTCCATTGGAAAAATAACTGAAAGAGTAGACTCACATGATTAAGAGATAAAGGGTATTGAGATTCAATTATGACAGATTTCGATGGCTCTAAATAATCGTCCCCAAGGGACGTTACCTGCAGACAAACAAATCAATCCAAAAGAGTAGGGCCCGAAATAGATTATGGAAATGAGTATACGAAATGGTAGATACCTAGATCTGGAGCAAGAAATGGCTCGTGAAAATCGACCTACTGAAACACTTATTCCAATACCCATTGAGAAAGATGAATGAACAGGGTTAACTGAAGTGACAGTACAGCATGCACATGAGAACGCCAACAAAGAAATAGAGGTTGCGAAAAAGACTAAGGTAGCTGATGTTTTACACTTCAATACCACACAAAAGGGGGGAGGTGATTTGTGTGGTGACCAATTTTTCGCTTAAGCTGTTTATGGAAGGACCTGGTTCATTTAAGTGTTCCTTAACCTACTATTGCAAAAATAATAAATGCAGAAAGTAAAGAACACAAGTATTTTACGTGAAAAACACCCGGCTAAAAAGGTGAAAAACCAACGACCTACTGTCCAGTAGAATTTTTCCAAACTCTCCACTAAAATCACTGAGCCAAAAATAGCATTTGTCACACCTCCTTTTTCCGCCCCCGCGAGGGGTGAAGGAGTTTTTCCAGTTAAAGGACAATCGAAATGGGATTTGTTTGTTTATTTCAGAGTCGCCACTTGGGAGATTTAGGGTGTCCCAAGTCACCTATTTTAATCCCGAATCGAGGAAAAGAATGACTCTGTATTACAGTCCGCGAACCAGAAATCCGGATAAGGAATTCTGTTAACCCGGGAGAAGGTGTTAGGCATTCTCGAGTTCCGTGGTTCTATCACGGTCGCTCAACTGTCATATTCGGCTTGTTTATCTGATTTTATTCAATTATGCGCTCATGCGCAAGTTTTAACTCTTTACCGCTTTTATCATTATATCTTTAAAAGAATGTGAACATCGTTTAAAAACATGTCTTTGGATTGCGTCACATAAAATGCACCCGCGATCTGAAACGTATTTTTATTCAATGTTTTAGGATTTGGATTTGGGTCGCATAAATGCGCACCCATGTTTAAGAATGTATTATTATTAAAATCGTGCCTAAAGCGATTAGCGTATTATTATTTCTGGGCAAGACCGTGGAATTCACTAATCAGTCCATCCCGAATTCTAAATACTAAATTAAATATTTATTGAGGGCCCCGCAATTGGTTNTAAACTCACATTAAATCACTGGATTAAAATGAACTTCAAACCAAGATGAACATGAATTAAATCATTTTAGACAACAAAAATGACGGATTCAAACGATTAAACCAACATATTTCCCTATTACAACTAAATTCTTTTAGACAAA